ACAACCAAATTATACTTTACATTATTTATGTACAGCTTTCAAAGTATGCAAGGCATTTGAAATATTTTTTCCCAATAATTTGAGTATTTATTTTAGTATGTGCCACTTCTACAGTGGTAGTTTCAAAATGGTAACAGTATGAAACCAAGACAGTCAACATTAAAAAAAAAATTAAAAACATTTTTTTAGGGATGAGAGTGCTCACAAACCTGCCTCTTTAAATAATTCATATATAATTCACACAGATAACAATCACTCAAAGTTACAGCAAGTAACCATAAATAAAGTTTAACATTGGTGACAAAGCAGACAGATATTCTAATAATCTTTTCATTCATTTTCATTTTGGGTAAGCCAAAAATTATTGATTATTATTATTTTTCAAAAACTACCTATAACTATAACATGTTTTGTCAATCAGCAACCATTATATGGAGCAGGTTTCTTTCACAAGCTGTTGCTTTCATGCATGACAAATAAACTGTACAGTTTTATAATCTCATAAAAACATCACTGAGTAATATTTGTTTGTTTAAACACCCTATAATAGTGATTGTCCCAATGTCATTATGAATACAATAGAAAGGAAAATTACAATGTAACCTGACCCATAGCAAGTATTCCATGCATGCAAACAGATATCAACCAATAGTGAGATGCCACATAAAGTAGAAATCATTAAAAGATCCATGTACAATACATGTATTGACATTTATACCTTTTACACAATTTTTAATTTACTAAAAGGTCATCTTGATGAATTTTGTACTTTGTGTGTTTTACATTTAAATACAAATACACATATATTCATAATGATATGTAATATTGTATCATAAAATATGCAATTAATAATGCCATCTAAATGTCAGTTCTCTTTACAGCATTGCATGATATGATAATAGACTCATATACTAATAACACTAATGGTTTAAAAAATAAAATTATTACAGGTTGTATAAAAATATATTTTTTCGCAGATGTTAAACAAATTAAGTAATGCCACTAAAAATAGTTGGTGGCTTTAGTTGGTAGAAAAAACATTTTTTCTTGGTTGTTTGCAATCAATTGTTGAAATTCAAATTCACACAATTTTTTGGATGATAAAAATATTCTTCAATAATCATATTAAAAGATTCTATGAGCTCTAATATATTGATTAAACTAATTTGATTTTTTCTTATATATATTTAGGAAAAAGTCAAGAGCATTCATTCCAAGCTAAATTTTCTAGTTGATATATAATACAGCTCAACCTTTTTACCATCAGTTTCCTTTTTTCATCACAAACAGTTCTGTTTATAGTCTGCACTTTCCTTGGGACATAAATGGCCAAATGTTTTGAGTATATAACTGAAAATTGATTCAAATTTTGTCGATTGGCTCCAAAAATAGGGATTATTCCAGAAATATTAAAGAATAGAAAAAAAAAATGTGAAAAAATTTGGGCAAGAAAGTCTAGTGACGAAAAGGTTAAGGAAAACCAATTTTAACCAACCTTTAAATGCTCAAATGCATGAATACTGAATGGCAGCTCAAGCACAGTTGAACAGTTCGGCTGTTTTAACTTCTTGGGTAACTTAGCATTCAGATCTATATGCTCTTCAACACTGAAATACAAAAGTTGATCATTTAAGGGATATGTAAATGCTAAGCAAAGTTCCTGAAACAGCTAAGGGTCCACAGTTAGGATGCTAGTCAGCTGCTCAGTGTGTGTGGTATAAAAATGGAAGTGTACTAGTATACTGTAATGAAACAATTCATTGTCAATGTCAATGACAGTCCCCATTTGTAATTTGGCTGAATCAACATTTGAAGACAAAAAATTATAGATAGATAGATAGATAGATAGATAGATAGATAGATAGAATTTTTTTATTTGGAACGTACCAATGAAATCTTGAGTAAAAACACAAAAAATTATGTTCTATCTTTCCAAGAAATGGTAAAGGACACATAAATAAAACCAATATGTCCTGCAGTTGGTCATTTTTAATCAAATCAAATCATAAACACCCGACATGCATTAGTAACCTACTGA